CAAAATGGGTATGAAAGAGTTTTGAACATCGATTTAAATTTTTTGGTATTTTTAGATATGTGACGAATATTTTTAATTCCACAAGAAAAATTTAAGAAACTCAGGGTTGTTAGGAGATGTATTAGGTAGTGTGGAGTCTTGAAACACCGATCCGGGTAAGGATCCCTCACCCTATTCCCGTTACGGTAAATTGAAAATTAACGACGTATAATTTTATTTTATTTATAAAAATTTAAAAAATCCTAAAAATAATTACAGGCCACTAGTGGAGGCAGAACCAGTTAGTTCACAATTGTCCTGATTTCTTGTTTATTTTTTTGTATTGTTCTACTTGCTTGTTATCATATTGTGCATGTTCTTAATTTATAGTTTTTATGGTCTTATCGATTTATCTAGTTTATTCGGTTATTTGGTTACTCGATCCCTTGTTATGATAAGCTATATCGTCTACATAATTGTCGTCTAATTGATCTGTAAATATAATTGGAGATGTTGATATGTATTTATTGGTTGTTTTGTTGATGAGAATTTTTATGTGAAAGACTTACTGGTTACCCAATGAAAGGGCGGATGGGCCCCGTATATATGGAATCCTACCATGAATGATACCTCAGTCGAATGGAACTAAAAAGTCCCTTACTGAAAAAGTACGAGAGAGATGGTTCACTTTCATACCGGACAAGATATCGAAACGATAGAATGTTTGACGTCCATTACCGTATGAGATATAGGGATGACCGGTTAATTTTTAAAATTAGATATTGGGTTCACGAGTAGGGGAACATCCCTATGGACCCCCACGGGTTCCAGTAAGCAAGTAAGAAAGAAAAATTATCATCTCTTATCCTCTTGTGCATGAAAATGAAAAGTTGCATGAATATGGATCTTCATAGGTTATTTTTTAAAAAACTCGTAACGGTAAGTATCAAACAAATATTTTTAAATTAAATATATTTAATTAAAATAAGGGCTCCATTAGTTATTCTTCTGATTTTTACCAATCTTCAGTTTTTTGTATTATTGAGTAGTGTGATATTCTTATTAGGTTAGTGTAACTCATCATTTAATTAACCATTTCAGATCAAAAAGATCAGGATCCAAATCCCGATCAGTAAGAAGACTGTGAGAAGTTTATCTCCCGAACCCCTTCAAAAGCTAATAGAGATTAACTCTAGGACATTTATCTATTTGTTTTAAATCATTTATTTTTTTTACGAACTATTGTATTAGGGACATTCCCGTAACTCTATTGGACATTTTAATTTACTGTGTAAGAAATATAAATCCTAACATATTATTCGTTTCCGCATTTAAATTATAAATTTATTTCCTTTAAGGTTCCATATCTTTACATTAATTGTTGTTTTCACTAAGTTTACTAATGTGCTCCAATTTTCGGGATTTCTATTAATCGATTTACATTTTCATTTTTGATCCTCAATTTGGATGTAACAAAAGTCAATTCAATCTTGTGTTCATGATTTTTAGTTTTTTTTTTCTTAATTGATTCTATCATAGTTTTAGTCTAATTCATTAATTCAAACTCGAGTAACTTTTTGTTAGGTTTTATGAAGAAAAAAGAGAGTAAAGAAAAATGAATTTTGTTTAGGATTAAAGTTTTAATTGATTATATGTTAGCAAAAATAACTAAACAAGACATAAGGATTTAAACTCTTTTCATTGAAAATTTTAACATTTTAGCCAAAATGATATTTCAGAAAATAAAAATTGAAAAAGTGCAAAGAACATTTTGTAATAAAATAGTACTTAGAACTAAAATAAAAAATAAGGCAAATTTTGAGTACTTATTTGGTAATTTATTGTTGCAAATTTATTATAATCATACAATTAGTGAAGACAGGCGGAAGCAAATTGATGATAATATAATGATGTAATTATATTCAATTTTTAAAAGTAAATTTAAAATGCAAAATAATCAAAATTCTATACACAAATAAATTAGATACTACATATATTATGAAACACCCAATAATTTCTTTTATTTTTATTTTTATTTTTTAAAATATAGTTATTTATTTATTTATTTTATTTTAATGAAAAAAATGGGTAAAAATTTTTTGTTAAGGATTAAATTGAAAATAATTTTGAAAAAAGGAGTGAAAATTTAGATTTTGATGGTATTTTTGAAAGAAAAATAGGAAACCGATGGTCAAAATGTAATTTAAAAAAATTGTCCCACGTTAGATGTTTGGTCAGCAGCCCCGACCAACCAAGACGCGCCAAGTGGCAGAGGCGCTGACGCGGGAGGCCACGCCGGGGGGAGTCACGTGGGCGATCCACG